TATATGTATATGTATATGTATATGTATATGTATATGTATATGTATATATATTTGGTATGGTGAGCTCCAGAGCTTCTGTTCATACCAGAAAAAGGTAAACTGGTCCTATAAATTGGGATCCTTTATTTGGAGGTTTCATGGTGCTATCTCTCTCTAGTTCTCTCCTCCAAACTCATTCTTACATAGACTTGGAATAAAACTAAGTATCTCAAATATCATTTGCTCTGGTTTTCTACAGACCTGTGTTCCCTGTGTTATCTGATTATTATGACCAGCCCTTCCCAAGATCTCACTCTTTAAATGCAGTTTCTCAAATTACAATCAGGATTGCACCAATCAGGAAAAGATCAATTTTAGTTGTAACCTTATTGGATGCAAGGACCTTTTTCTTTGAAAGAACTACAGGCATTGTTGTGATCTACAAAAGCATTGTGATGCCATTTTATATCCCTCCAGAAGTAGACGTTTATCTCAGAGGACAAATTGCCCACCCCAGACCTCACAAGTAGAAACATATTCATAGGCACTTCTACTCACAGCTGCATGGCCAGGTACAAATGAGTGGGACTTTCATAAATATCTTCCAGAGCAACAATGTTCTCATGTTGAATTCTACAATAAAAATTAGGAAAGGGGAGAGTGAAGGGCAGCCAATACCCCAAGAATCCACCCTCATCTTTTCAAAAAGGCGTGTGTTGTCAAGCATCAGGGAAATCAGGAGATCCGGGCAATCCAAATGTGCATCAAGATTTATTGTAAGCTTAAGTTCTCTACAAGAATCTGAACTACTAATGGTCAAGGAAAATTAGTGGGAGTTGAGAAGATAAAGGAATTCAAGGTGGGCTGGACTTATATCTCTTGTGATGTGTTTGACCGCCTCCCTCCGGCTCAGCTTGGTCATCTCTGGAAGTATAATGAAAGCCATGCAGATACTCTAAGGCTGAAAGTTTGATTAGAGTTGGGTGAAACCCTACCCAGATAGGAATCTCTCTAGGGACTCTTCTCTATAGTTAAAGTGCTCTCCACCAATCCTTGAGCAAAAAAGTACCCTGGCATAAAATCTGCTGCTCCCATTGCCAATCACTAGCCAGAAAATATGCTAATTTACTAGTGCTTGTTTATTACGTAGAGAGCAAGTTAAGGAGGTTGGTGGGTTTCTGTAGTTTGGCTTCCCTCTTCTTCTTTTACCAAACATTACCAGCTGGTGAGAATCCACCAGTTACACTCTTTAACTGGGATGGGGCAGAGGAGGAAGCAAGTTTTGATAGCTGGATTATATATCTGCCAGCTGTACACTGGGGCTATGTCTGAGAGGTGACAGAAAAAGGGGAGAGCAGATTCCTTACACATAGGATTCCGATGCTATGGTAGGATTAGAAATTTAGAGGGTAAAAAGGCCAGCTCTTCCCAGTTGATTTCTCTCCCAGTTGTGGTGTGGAAATCACCACACAGCTCTCCCACATTTTTCAGCAAAGCCCAAAAAGAGAGAGAGAGAGAGAGAGCTGATGGGAATTGGGGATAGCTGCAGAGGTGGGTATTCAGCCAGTTCTGACCGGTTCTGGAGAACCAGTAGCAAACATTTTGAGTAGTTCGGAGAACCAGTAAATACCACATCTGGTTGGCCCTGCCCCATCTATTCTCTGCCTCTCGAGTCCCAACCGATTGGCTGGGTCTTCTTTTGTTGCCCTGCACAGGAGAATGGAGCTGGAAAGCAGGTTAGCGGGGTGGAGTGGAAATGGAGATTTTACATTACCCTTCCCCTGCCACGCACATCAAGCCACACCACACCCATCAAGCCATGCCCACAGAACCAGCAGTAAAAAAAATGTGAATACCACCACTGGATAGCTGCATGGTACAGTTGATAGGTGTGGACAGGTTGCACGGTAAGGGAGTAATTATTAGCTATTTTTCAGGGGATTTTTAGACATAGTTTCCCTGAAAGATCAGAAATTCCAGGTTTAAAAGTAATCTAACTGCTAATAATGGAGGGGGAACCGCATGGTGCAGCAGGAGTCTTTTTCCTAGTGTTGTTCCCTGCCCCAATTACAGTACCTGTTAGCTGTTAGTTGGGTTGATCTATTTTTTTAAACACGGGTCTTTTAGATGGGGATCAGTTTGGAGACTTGATGGATTCACGGGAGAGAAGCTGGTTTAAAAGACTCATATTCTCCTACTACTGTCCTCAAATAGACAGAAGGGCCCCAGAATACAGATCAGCCTAGAGTTGCCATTAGGTGTCTGGCTGATTCTACCCATTACGGTGTCGCTAAACGAATGCTGCCTAAGGGAAAAGACCCTGTTAAGGATGACTTAAGGCCGCTCAGATGTGGGTTGGCAGTGAAGCTGAAGGAGATCATGGCAAAAAGTCCACAACTGCTAGGACAGGTTTATTCCATGGTTAAGGGCAAATGGGGAAAGGTGATAAGTAATCTTGAGACAATTACTATCGCTAACTTTTTAACCTGGCTAGATAAATTCTTAGGAAAAGTACATTACTCAGAGGTACTTGGCAGAAGGCTAAAAAATGTGGAATGAATAAAATTATCCCTGTAAGATTCAGTGAAATCCCTGCTAAATGTGGTGTGCTTCTTATTTAAGCCCAGACATTCCCAAAATTCTGGAAATGTGCACTCAAGAGAAGGAGAGCAAAACCGTAAGGAAACCACATTCCCTTACCCAAAGAGAAAAGGCACTGCCTTCTGAGTTTAGGTTCTGTGGTAGGTTGGCCAGTGCAAAAACTTGCCTTTTCCCCTTTGCTAAAAGGACAGACAATGTTATCTCTTTTCCATGTCTGCAAACTGGACTCTCTACAGCAGGGGTGTCAAACTCACGACATCACGGCAGCATCACATGATGTATCCGGACTTTTTTTCCCCTTTGCTAAACCGGGCGTGGCTAGCACGTGACCCATCCAGCCCATGGGCCAGGAGTTGGATAGCCCTTCTCTACAAGATCAGTGAAATATCACCTATACTTGCATTAAGTTATTGTTATTATAACTGTTGTCTCTGAACAAAATGAAGTCCCAATCAACGTTGGGATTTAAACATTTTTACTACCTGTTCTGTGGGCATGGCTTGGTGGGCGTGGCAGGGGAAGGATACTGTAAAATCTCCATTCCCACTCCACCCCGCTAACCTGCTTTCCAGCTCCATTCTCCTGTGCAGGGCAACAAAAGAAGACCCAGCCAATGATCAGCTTGGACTCAGGAGGCGGAGAATAGATGGGGGCGGGGCCAATCAGAGGTGGTATTTGCCGGTTCTCTAAACTACTCAAAATTTCTGCTACCAGTTCTCCAGAACTGGTCAGAACCTCTGGTCCCAATATAAAAATGGATCCTGAGCACTGAACCAGGAAATTCATTTTACATCCTGGAAAAAAAATGCAGAAATGCAAACTGACTTACTTTTTGAGCACAGCAATTTCATTCTCCACAGCTGCTTCTTTACCTCGCAGTGCTTTTTTAGGAATACATTTGAGGGCTACAAGGCGCTGAGATCCATGTTCCTGGGCCAAAACCACTTCCGAAAAGGCCCCTCTGTAAGAATAAGAATTAAAGGAAGGTGGAATAGAGGCATGTAAGTGTTCACAGCTACATAAGCAGTCGCTGAAGTTCCTTACCAAAATCCAATACAGTTGCAATAGCAATTCAGCAGTAGACACATAAGTCTGTTTTTGTACTTTGTGCCCAACTACATTAAGTGTGATTTCTAGGAAAGCTGAATTTGGTTTTGTTTTTTTTGTTTTTTTTCCCTTAAATTCCTTGGAACCTTTTACCGGACTGGAAGTTAAGTAAAAACAGCATTACGATCCGTAAGGGAAAAAGCGTTGCCATGCAGCCAATGTAATTCTTTGAACTCCCTGCGATTGTCTGAGTGTAGAGTTGCTACATGAAAAAAGAAAATGTTCTGTTTGCTTCAAAGTGTTCTGGGACAAAGAAGCAATTGTGTGTTTTGCTTCAAAATATGGAATCAAGTCAATAGAACTTTGCCTTAGTTTTCAAAATGGGAGACGGGGGACAGAACAAGTAGTTCAAAGGGTGGGGGGGAAGGTTGCTTTGTTTTGGGGGAGATTATGTTACGTTTTTGGCTTTGCAGGAGGGAGACCATTCAAAGTAAGCGACAGTGACCAAAATACAAAGGTGGTAGAATTTTTTGAGACTTACTACACAGGGTCCCCCAAGGGTCTTCAACTTCTCCATGCCCCTACCACACACACACACACAAAATCTTTGCTCTACCACACACACCAAACTGGAGCTAATTCGGGTTATGTCTGATCCCTTGATTGACGCTTTATGATTTTGGAATAAATTGGCTGAAGCATCTCCGGTATTGACTATGCAAACTGGTAGCATGCATATTATTCATGGCTGGCTGACTCATTCTCCGGTGCAGCGAATCTGATCTCCTAGTGCTGCAGAGAAAACAAGAGGGAGGCATTCCCTAGGAAACCTGAGCAAACAAAGAAGCCCCTTTGCTGTCCCTCTGGAAAGGGATTTGGATTCTCTGCCCTTCGTTCGAATTAGAAGGCTTGGTGCATTTGGTTAAGAAAGGGTTAAACCCGTGTCGTCTTTCCCACCACCCTCTGCAAATTCCCTCTGGCTCCTGGTCTATTATTGTCCAACCCACGTCAGATATATATGTCCGTCCGAGGGCATCCAAGCCAATGGGATCGCAGTATGCAAATGAGGCTGCCGCATTCCTGGGGTCCTTCTCTGCAGAAGAGGCTTCCAGGAAGGAGGAGGGACCACCACATCCAGGCGCAGAGAGACCCCCGGCTGGGCAGGAGGAGGGCAGGAGGAGGAGGACGTCAGGGCAGGAAAAGCAGATGGGCAGAAGTCAGCACTGGGCTAGGGATGGATGGATGGAGAACGGGAGAGTGGAAAGCAGATCTCAGACACGCAAACGTTCTGCAATGTGAGATTGCACATGTGAGATTATCTGCTACACTATGGGGAGGGGGGCGGAGGAGGGGAATACTTCTTTAGACATATATTTAAAATTGCAGCATCTTTAACACCAACCCAGGGCTTCATACTGGAGGTGGTACTGAAGACAAGGAGGGAAGCTTGGTCTAACCGCATGATAGGTGTGGGAGGACAGGATTTGACTGGGAAAGGAAAAAAAATAGAACTGGAAATGGGTGGAGGGAGGGAAAGCAAAGGGATTGAAACTATAACAGCCTCCTTCAACCTTGCACCCCAAGACTCTGAGTTCCCTCAGACGGACAATGAGATTCCCAACAACAATTCATCTTCCCAAGTTGGGGAAGGTTAGTGTAAAAGGGGAGAAGGGCTAACCCAGAGCACGGAAAGTGAATCTATCAAGAAATGGAGGGAGAGAGGAAGTCCGCAAGGGCAGGATTCCCAGAGCAAGAGAGCGTCCATGCGGATCTTGAGCCAGCCCTTCCTTTTTTACTCACGCGCCCAGCTTCTCCTTGATGTCGTAGACACTGGCAATGTCTTCCACTGTTTTCTTCCAGCCTTTCCCAAGAGGCATTATGAACAGCTCAAAGCAGGCAGGTCGGAAAGAGCTGGGGATAGGGAGGCAGAGAAAGAGGAGATAAATGCCACGTAGAGAGAGGGAAATTTGTAATGGAAACATCTAGAAAGGGGTCAGCCTGTTCCCATGGCTCCTTGGCCAGAAATCTCCCAGCTGCTCCTCTCTACTGCAAGATACTGAAGAAGAAATGTTGAGTCTGAGGCAGAGATTTAGAAGGCAACACACAAATAAATTCGGAGCTACACATCACTGGGAAGTTCATTCTCAGTTCCAAATATTCTTGAAATAAAAGGAAAAGCGTTTTTCTGATGATCCCATGTTCTGTTGCCCTTAATAATACTTGAGGAGGTATCCCCCAGTGTGGTTGTAGATCTAGGCAAGCTCTAGATCTACAACCACATTGTCTGCAAGGCTTTCCAGGAAGATGTCCCGATGTCTGGAAACTGCAATTTACTACAATTGGAGGCCACCAGGCCAGCAGAAACTATAGTTGCCCTAGGGTATGTTCTGTCCAAATGGTTTGATTATAAAGGCACATTTGAACCAAGCAAAAATAGAGTTCTGTTTACGTCCTGACAATTAAGAAGATGCTCCCTGTGGCCACATAACTGGGGCTGTAGAAAACATGGACCCTGAAGAATTTGAAATCAGAAAATCCCAATCCCAGATCATTTTGATCTGTAAACTGCCATGAGTTCCTGTGGAGTCTAGTGGAATAAAAAATAATTTTAAAAAATAAACACCACATTTGGACCACTTTGGAAACTTTTGGGGTTTCTTATTCAAGTGTCAATAGTGCCTACAGGTAACAGGAAGTGGAAATTTATCACAGTGGCATGAGAGGTTTGCCAACTTCATCACATCCACTTGTAGTTCAAAGCATGAGAACAAGCCAGCCTAGAGGCTGTTTTGTCAAGTAAAAACCTTAATATAAATCCTTAAGTAAAGCCATTCTACCTAGAGAGTATAAAAATAATTACAGAAACAAAATGGTTATGAAAATCTAGCATCTTTGACTTTTCTAATATTTTTCTAATATGTAGGAAGAAGTATCAAAAATGAGGAAATAATGCCAGATCCATTAACAGCAACAAATGATAATCAGTGGTTACAGGAAAAATATATATATAGTGTAAAAGCTGATTAGCTATATTATTTCTGATAATATTATCACTGATCATTGTTCTGTTTCTTTAGTATAATTTACTAATAAAATGTAAAATAGCCAGCTTACTCTTTACACATCAGAGATGCTAGGAAAGAAGTAATTCAATCAATCAACTTATATTTGGTTAATATAGACCAACAAAAAGACAAGTAATCTTCAACTAATATCACAATTGAGCGCAAAATTGCCATTGCTAAGTAAGGCAGTTAAGTGAGTTGTAACCCATTTTACAAACGCTTCTGCCACTGTTGTTTAAATGAACCCCTGCAGTTCAATAGATCATGCGGTCATTATGGATTCTGGCTTCCCGCATTAACATTGCGTATCCAAAGCTGGCTGGGAACTTCACAAAATGACGATCACATGTTCCCAGGACAACACAACTATCATAAATACACGGCAGTTGCCAAGCATCTGTATTTTGATCACATGGTGCTATTAACAGTTGTAGATGTGAAAACCGGTCATAAGTCTCTTTTCTCAGTGCTGTAAAAAGATTGCAAGTCAAAGACTAGCTGTAATTCACTACTAGACAAGACGGTCTGATCATTTGTATTTGTTTTCAGAATTAGACAGAATCTGGTTAAAATCTTGAAGAATTCTCTTTCCCACTGCCACAGAGAGATGTCCACTCAACTGAACAGAAGAAAAAATTGATCTGGACAGATTTATTAAGAAGTATGCCTAGGCTGTCATTTCAAATGAAGAACATAACTTTTCAAGGGATAAGAACAAGCAGTATTTCACACTTTTGTATTCTATTTCCACTTCAAACTTTTGCTTTTAGAATCTCTTTGTGTGCATTTTTATGAATGCGTTCATGTGTGAGAAAGAAATAATTGCAAGCCCTTTTTGCAGCTATTTAAGCCAGCTTTGTTATAAAGCATGATCACTTCAGGAAGGAAAAAAGAGACAATATACTTCTTTCACCCCTTAAATCACTGTCTGAAACAGCCCATGTTAAGAAAACAGATCAACGTCCCCCTCAAATGAATCCTTCTACGTGTGCCAAATTACACAATCCCCTATGCCTTAGACAGGTTGGAGAAGGCCAATCTGGGGGGAAAAAAGAACAGACAAGAAGAGGGGAGCTCTCATTATGGTGTTTTTCTTCTTCTCTTCTTCCAAGAAGTTTCAGGAAGAAAATTTAAAAAACAACAACATGTAGGGTCAAAAGGGAATTAAACCTCCCTCCTGTTCCATATGCCCCCATCTATAGGTTTCTCTCTTTCAGAGTAAACAAAGTTTGATGGGCAGGGGATAAATTAAGTCAATGCAAGAAAGAAAAGAATGCCCTGGTCAGAAGATACATTTATCTCCCTCCCATCTTGTTTGCTCTGCAATTATTTGGATCCCTGAGTCAAGCCACGTGGTTCACCCTTTCATGCTCCTTCTTCAATTTCCCCAAAGGACTGTAAAGAGTGAAGTGAAGACAAAGGTGTGCTTTGTGCCCTTGGCAGAGGGCACTTTCAGTCTCCTGCAGTCCTGATCTTGAGCTGGCAGAGACTAGAAAGTGTCATGCCACCTGCCTTCTTTCCAGCCCAGAGTTCTTATGCTACAGAAGTGTCTCTCCATTGCTCCAACCTTAATAAAGCAGAGTTTTTCTTTTTTCTTTTAATAAGCCTTCACCACTACTACAGTATTACTTCTTTTGAACTCGCAATAATGTATTACCTAAAGCAATTAACGCTCTCACTAACTGGGTGCATTTTTTAAAAAAATCCAGAGCAGAGTAGTTTCAGTTGGGAGTTGGCAGATGGGATATGTGCATTTGTCAACTAGAAACTGCACCATTGGTGCCTCAGATAGCCAGGGTGTGTATGGATGACAGGCAATTAATATGTGTTGTGAAAGTTGAGACATGCATAATAATAATTAAAAAAAAGAATGATACTTAATGCAGAAACTGGTAATCAGATCATAAAACCACATCCACTTCTTTGAGAGATACCACTTGATTTTCCCATTTGCCCACTGGGTGCAAAATAGATGTGGAGGACTGATGGCCTTTGGGACAATAAATCTGATGAGTAACTGCTCACTATAGAAGAAACTTACAACAGGTAGTTCTCGACTTACAACACATCATTTAGTGACTGTTGAAAGTTACAATGGCACTGGAGGGGGGGGGAAATGACTTATGACCATTTTTCACACTCACAACCGTGACAGCATCCCCAGGGTCACATGATCCAAATTCAGGCACTGGTCATATTTATGACGTTTGCAGCGTCCAGGGCTCATGTGATTCTCTTTTGCAACCTTCTGACCAGCAAAGTCAACAGAGAATTCAGACTCATTTAACAACAGGGTTTCTAACTTCACAACTGCAGTGATTCACTTAATAGCTGTGACAAGGAAGTTCGTAAAATTGGGCAAAATTCACTTAACAGCTATCTCCCTTAGCAACAGAGATTTTGGGTTCAACCGTGGTTGTAAGTCGGGGAGAACCTGTGCAGTTTTTTGTTTTTTTTTACAAAAACGAGTTGCTCACTACTAACCGGAAGGCCTGGTTAGTCGTGCAAATGGCAGCCCTTCCTCCTCCAAGTCCGACTGCTATCCAGTCTTCCCCAACCTGGATTCTTCCTTCCTTCCAGAGAATTCTAGGACTGATAGTCCACTCATTTGGAAAACCCCAGGTTGAGGAATCCTTTCTTATACTTGTATATTCTTCAAGTAATTATAAACTTTTATACTCAGATTCTAGTGATATATGCGGTTATTTGGAACTGCTTATTGGTCCTGGAGAATTTCTATGTTTAATGGCAGAATCACACACACACACACCAGAGGTGGTATTCAGCAGGTTGTGACCAGTTCTGGAGAACCGGTAGTGGAAATTTTGAGTAGTTCGGAGAACCAGAAAATACCACTTCTGGCCGGAGTTTTTACAGTATCTTTCCCCTGCTATGCCTACCAAGCCACACCCACAGAACCGGTAGTAAAAAAAATTGAATCCCACCGATACATATATCAGACAGACACACACACATACAAACACACACACAATACACATACACACACACACACATACATACATATACACATATATATGCACACACACACACACACACATATATATGTATATTTTACACATACATATAAACACCTATACATGTACATACATACTGTGTGTGTCTATATATACATATATGTGTGTGTATATACACACACAGAGAATATATGTGCACACATATCAGTGTGTCTTGACAAGGGTTCAGTCTAGGAAGGAAGGAAGGTTGTTTGTGTGCCATGTGTGACATTTATTCCTTTGGCCTGAGGTGAAACTGTCTGAATCCATATAAAGTGTACAATGCATTGCACTGTGCTTCATATTCCTATGATATGGTATGTTTACACAATGTCAAAAATATTATTGACTTTAGAGAATGGGAAGAAGTAGGTGAAAATTACCAAAGCTACAGTGGTGTCTGACGAATGCAGAAACACACATAAACATGCAGGCATTTTCTTTTGTTGTTGTTGACCATACCTGGTTTTTACAATATGTTGAAAAAAATATTGATAAGGGCAGTTACCCATCAATCCTTGTAAATGGTGCTGTGTGTCTGTCGAATCTCCGATGGAACAACAAATGTTTCCGTGCAAGATAAAGAAAGCATATGTGTGTTTGCTCAGGCATGCACATACTTTGTGACAATAAGGTCTAAGCCTGCATAAATGGTTGACAACTTGTGTACAAATACCGGCATGAAAAGGGAACTGATGCGGCATGAAAAAGGATGAAAAGAACAGACATGCAGAAAGGAAATTTGGTGGCAGATGAAAAGAAGGGAGGGAAGAGAGTTGTAATGTGGCATTCACACAAAAGGGAATGCTATGGAGGTTCACAAGGCATGTTACAAGAATGGAGATAAAAGGAGTCAAGAAAATGGATATACAGACTTAGTTGAGTGAACCGGACTGATGAAACAGAGATAAAGCTTGCTGGGCCCTCCCCTTTAGAACCGCAACACGTAGGCTTCTAGTTACACAGCCTAAAATGAAGTATTTCAGATTCGCACGACCCACTCACCCCCCACCCCTTTTTCGTGCGGCCACCTGTTTGGAAGACCAGAGCAACCAAGCCCAGCGCTTTCCACCCCGATAGGCAAACCAAAACAAAAACAAAAACAAAAAAAACCACATTCCAAGAGGCCCCCGTTGTTTTCCTGCCGAAACAACGGCTCGGCAGCGGTATCCAGCGCACAGGTCTAGGTCAACTTTACAGCCGGGCCAACCCGAAGCATTTTGCGCTAAATTAACCCCAACTTCGGACGTGCGTGTGAGGTTTGCAAGCACACCATCCCTTAGCACCTGCTGCCCTTTGGATGGGAAGCCGCGAAGAAACGCATCCACGAATCAACCCAGAAGACGACCAGAGCTGTGTGCCTCGCTGCGTCCCCTCCCTTTGAACCACCCGTAAGACACCCCACTTCCCCGTCTCCCCTTCCCGGGTCCTCCCAGCCCAGGTGTTCTACCTCTCCTCGTTTCACTTTCTCTCTCTCTCTCTCTCCGGCGATCTTCCTCCTCCTCCACCACCCAGCCCGGATCCGCTGCAATCGGGGCTTCGTTTACATTCCTCAGGCGTCTCTGCATCCCGCGCGCTTCCCAGCCTGGTGGTGCAGGCGAATGGCTGGGGAGGGGGGGGCGGCGGCGAGGGGACCGAGAGAGACGCGCGTGTGTGCGTGGGCAAGCGCGGGCGAGGAACGGAAACCGACCCTACCTCGCCCCCCCACACACACACCTCCACCCCCGAGTCCGATTTGTCCTCTCTCCCTCGTGCTTCTCACTTACCTGCTTCAAAGTCCTGAGCCCCTTGGAGTTAGTCCATGCCACGGGCTGCTGGCAGTCCCCCTTCCCATCCTCTAGCCCGCTCTTTGCCTGTCCCGCCAGCCCGCCTGACCCACCTCGCCACGCCACGCCACGCCACGCCTCGCCTGCTGGCTTACTCCACCCTTCTACTCCGTCTTCCTTTGGCGTCTCTTCACCCCTGCCTTGTAAGGCAATAACAGGCGGACGTGAGCTTAGGGAAGCGGCTGGAAATCAAGCGAAGAGGGACCCCAGTGGTCATCCCGCAGCTGGACTTCTCGGATCTGCAGCCTGGGAAAGGCAGCTGGGACCGCAGAGAGGCAATTTAGGCACGTCCCTGAAGTAAAACCTCTAAGAGCAGAAGCAGTGTATCTCTGAATCATGGGGGATGAGGTAGTGTGGTGGTATAAAGAGATTGGCTTACAAATCAGGAGGGGAAACCAACATTCCTGGGTCTTACCTTCAGCTACCTCAAGCTTTCTCTCTCTCTCTCTCCAAGTATGCTGTGATTGAGAACAATACTGCGGATTAACTTTACAAGATTCTAGCAAGGCAGAGAAGAGAACCCCTATCTTGTCATCTTCTGTGAGATGGGCAGCCATATAAATGTGCTTTAAAATTAAATGAATAAATCTATCTATCCATTGGCCAACTCTAGGGCAGCCTGGTGCTCTCCAGATTTCAGTTCCCTATAATTCCACAGCTAAACTGGATACCACCAGTTTAACCTTCTGAGGAAAACTTCTCTAAAACATAATAAAATGCATAAAATATTCTGATAGTTACTAGTGTCTGCTAATAGCAAAATGCAAGAATCGCTGCTTTCCAGAACTCCATCTGAGGTTTAATAACATGGGATTTTTTTATATTCAATTTTCTATTAGTCTTAACAGAGGCTGCTTGAAGCATGAGGTTTTCAAAAGCTCTGATTTTTGAAATTCCAATGGACCTGATTGGATCTGATGCTGCCAGCTTGAAAGTGTGGAGGGGCAATCAACGCAATATATGCAGAAACTAAAAAAGAAGTGGGTGAGCACCCTCAGTAAGTTACGGGCCATCCCAAACCATATTCTCCCATTTCCAAGATGTACATCTTGTAGGATGTCATCAAATTGCGCTCTGCCAAATGGTCATTCAGGTCCCAAGAAAATTCCAAACATTAGAAGAGCCCAAGAGAACCCTTAGTAGGAAGACAGAAAAGTCAAGTTTCTTGCTCGTGTCTGCTCATTTTGATTTTTAGCAATAAAGAGTGTAACACGCTCAATTGTCTCCTGAGATCAAATAAAGCATTAAGACTGGATGCAAATCATCAACACCTGTTAGGGCAGTGGATAGAATGAAATGTAGAAATGCTACATGGACATGACACTATAAATTTCAGGGTGGTTTTTCTTACGTTAAGTCTGTTTTGAAAATGAGGTGACTTTTTGATTATTTTAAATTTTCATCCTTGTCTTTTAGGAGACTTTGGAATAATTATGTGGCATCAAGGTAGACTTTCTCCTGTCCCTAAGCTAGTCCTTTAGTCTTCTAATAGTGCACCCATTATTGCTATAATTAACTCGATTCACCCTGTAGCTGGTCATCCTCTTCTTCTCTTTCCTTCCACCTTCCTTCTCCAGAGAGCTAGGTCTTTGCACAACGTGTCTGAAGAATGAGCCTGGTTATTTGTGCTTTGAGTGAGAATTCGAGTTGATTTGTTCAATGATCCATTTGTTTGTTTTCTTAGCTATCTACAATTTTCTCACTAATCTTCTCCAACACTGGTTCAAAAGTGTCGATATTCTTCCTATCCTGCTTTTTCAAAGCCCAACTTTCATTCCCCTTAAATGTCACAGGTGTGTTAGTGCCTTAACACCACTGCCTGCCCAGTTCTGATCTTTGTAAATTTAGATACATCCCAGCATCTGAATATCTTTTCCAAGGCCTTCAAGGCTGCTCCACCAAGTGCTAGTCTGCAGCATATTTCTTGATATAAAAAAGGGTGATCGTAAAAAGCAGAAGGTACCCACCACTTCAATATCTTCATTGCCAATTCTAAGGCTGGCTACTGTACTTACTATCATTAGCTTAGTCTTCTTTACATTTATAAAGAGTGCATTCCCATTTTTTTCACCATGGTCTTTGACTTTGATCATTTCATTATTAGACCCTGCAAATCATTTGCACTTATGGGACTACAAGGAACTATTCAGCTGAGCTAGATAAGCCACAGTCCATGATCTGCACCCAGTTCCACAAAGCTTCTGTGTGTCTTCAACTGTATTTATTGGTTGGCTTAACTGATATTCTGCTTTTCTTTGAGATCGATGCCAGCATGCAGAAGTATTTCTTGCTCTCCAATTTTCCCACAACATCAATCTTGTCAGGCAAAGTGGCCTAAGGAAAAAAATGACTGGCCCAGAATCCTACACTGATTCCAGGATTGAGGGTGAGCTTGAACCCAAATCTCCCGTATTGTAATATCTTACATTAAGTACTACATCACCCTGATTTTTCATCAAGAGACCTTTCCATTCACTACCAACATTTGCTGCCAAAACCATGCCAGCAAATTTCAGAAACTAAATTCCTTTGACACGGCATCTACTTATTTAAAAGAATTAGGATTAACTGAGAAAAGTTGACATTTTTAAAAAAGCAAGGATGATGTATATTGAAGATGAATTAAATGCTACAGAAATTCCGAAGGTCTAACAATATATGCTAAGAAGGTGCAGACAGGGTGCCATGACAACAGCCCTAGCATCCAGATATGATACACGGCTTCTAATTATACTGGGTCCACCAGATTTGTCATCGCTCATACAGATTGGTAATTGTGGGGAGGTGGGAAACAGCTAAAATATCCTAGTTGAGACATTGCCCCCTCCTTAAGGAAGGATAATGAGGGAAAGGATATTTGTGGTTCAGGACAAGGTGAGTTTATAACAAAAAAACACTAGATGGCACATTTGCCTCACAGAGACAGGCAATTATGCTAGATAAGAGTACATTGCAGTACATACTGATTAGTCAGGCAGGCGGTGTAAATCTAGAGAAATAATGGTAATGATGACGATGAGGGCATCTAGTGATGATTTGCATGGGCAGATGGGATACCATCATAAATAAAACATCTTGGAATGAGTCTGCCTGTTGCTGAAGCATAGAGAAATTGGCTTCCTCTCCTTTCAGTCAGGTATCTTTGTGGCCAGATTGCAGGAGGGAAGGTACTCCAAGGATGCTGCTCAAGGCCAGCCCTCCTCCCTAATTCGTCTTTGCTCCAGACGTCTCGGTCTTCGCTTCCCCCAATTCCCAACCAGGCAAATATTCTGAGATTTGCCGTATAAAACACATGCAGGATGTCCCACGCAAGGAAGGTGGAGCTTCAGCTCCTTGGCATGAAGTTCCTAGACTTTTCAGGCTTTCCCCTCATGTGGAGAAATATTCTCATCCGAATGTTCCCCCCCCCCCCCAAAAAAAAAATTGTCTAGAGTAAGGATTGCATAGCAGGATTCCCACCTGGGTTGCAAGTCATGACCAGGGCAAGGACACAGCTAACCACCTCTCCCTCCCTCCCCACACCCACCCTAGCATCTACATGGATGGCAGGGTTTATGTGAACCATTCGATGTCTTTGTTTTATGCAGCACTGCAGGGCTAACTCACTGCTCACTCCAGGAGTTCAAATCTGTGACTCAAGGTTGACTCAGCCTTCCCTCCTCATTACATTGAGGATCCAGATGGTTGGGTGGCAATATGCTGACCCTTAGAGAGGGCTGTAAAGTGCTATGAAGCGGTATATAAGTCTAAGTGCTATTGCTATTTATCACATTTATAAAGGGTGTTAGACACTATATATTTCCTGCAGTGCGTTCTCACAGTAGCTTAGTAATGTAATTTAGAAAATAAGGTTATTGTCTCAGCCAGAGTTTCATAGTCAAGTCGTAATTGGACCTTTGGTCTCCTTTCTCCTAGTCCCTTTCTATACCAAATCATTAAACCTTTTTAATTTTCCACTTGCTATTGATAGTATAGGAGGAATGAAAAAGGGAGGATGGGGTTTACTGCAGAGGAAATAGTCAAACTCCCTTAATGCCATAGCTCTGTTCTGATTCAGACCCTCTGCAAGTGGTGGTTTTTTTCCCCAAAAAAATAATCTAATCAATGAGAACTACAATCATTATATCTCCAGCATCCTATCAGCCTCATGCCTAACAAAGAAAAAAAAATCTGTATCAGTGTTTCTTAACTTTAGCAACTTTAAGAACCTTAAGGCAGAATTCTGGGGGTTGAAGTCCACACATCTTAAAGTTGCCAAAACTGTGAAACACAAATCTGTATATTAGCATGTGCATGAATAAGCACTAAAATACCATGCTGTATGAGAACAAGTATGGTATCATGGTTAAGGTATTTAACTGGAAGTGGGGAGACCCTGGTTCTAGTCCACCCTCAACCTAATAAAGTGACTTTAGACCAGTCACCCACTATCAGCCCAACCTCCTTCTTAGATGGGAAAAACCATAGAGTCTGTTAGGTATAACATTGATACCAAATATGGTTTGGGTGAATAAATATATAAAACTTAGATATCATGGTTTAAGTGCTTATCACTTTAAGCACAATGCTGCAGGCAATTAGCCGATTAAGGGTGCAGTTAGAAGTTACAATATAAGGAAGCATTAGAAGCTGGAAAGCTTACTGCGACTAACTGTGTCTTACTGCGACTAATTGTGAGTGCCTGTGACTGAACTGTTCTTGTTTGCTACTGTTTGCTGATTTACTGCGTAATTCTACTGTTCTACTGTTTGAACTTCTTGCTGAATATCCAGCGTTTGTTCCTCTGGAGAGAGGCACCGGAGGAGGAGAAGATATCTTTATCGGCTGATAAAGATATTGCAAGGACTCTTAAATTGGACTATACTAGTGAGTCTTACTGGATGGAAATACTGTGAATGACTTAATGGACTGAATGACAATGCTTTAAACTCTAAATGGATTAAAAACTATTTAAACTACAAAGAAGTGTTTGTGTTCAGTGTGTGTATACTCTGGGGCCCTTCCACTCTCGTTTGGCTGCCTGGCTTGACTACTGCTGCAATACTCTGCTAGGGGTTAATCCCCAAAC